CGTGATCTCTAATGGAAGTCTAAAATTAAAAGACGTGGTCGGAATGATACCAACGTTTACTGGGAAATCGTCCGAGCAAGTTCGAGAGTTTTTAAATACGTGCGAGTACGCAGAAGGAATGGTCAACTCTGCGGAAGAACCCGCTCTTTTGCAAGCAGTATTGCGAACTAAACTGAGAGGGCAAGCATTGATTGATTTCGAAACGAAGGACATTCGCGATTTTGGACAGTTAAAAGCAGAAATAGAAGCCACGTATTCTGCGAAGAGAAGCACTACGCAATTACAAATAGAGTTTAACACATTGCGACAAAAGAATAGTGAAAGCGCACAGATTTACGGCCNAAGAGTAAATCAAACGGCCATGGAATTGTACGAATCTATGGTGGAAGGCGAAGGGCACACCATGGAAGAGAAGCGTACAATAATGAATACTATTAAAAAGCAAGCGTTGCAACAGTTCCAAATAGGTTTAAGAAGTGACGTCAGATTGATAATAAGGTCACGCAACTATGGAACATTGCAAGAGGCAATAAACGCAGCAAGCTCTGAGGAGAAGGTGGTGGTGCCACAAAGCAGCCACAGTGGAATTTTTGCAGCAAAGCAAGAGGTGGGAAAAAATTTTGAGAAAAATGCGTGCTTCAAATGCGGAAAGATCGGACACTACGGAAGAGAGTGCCGATCAAGTACAATGGCATTGCCTAAACCAAGCAGTGGCAAAGTAAATGCTGTGGACAAAACGTGCAGTTATTGCAAAAAGACAGGGCATGTCAAAGAAAATTGCTGGTNACTGAAAGGCAGGAGAAATAAAAAAGGAGTTGTGAAAGCCATATGTGCGGCAAAAGATAAGAAAAAGAAAAGCCGAAGTGACAGTAGCGAGTCATCGAGTGACGAAGACGACAACGAAAAAGAAAAGAAAAAATCCGTGTCAGTAGCAGAGCTACAGGTAGCCGAGCTAAATGCTGTGCAAGCAGTTTTGGATTTAGTCACTGTACCGATGAAGGAAGCAAAGAAATGTGAAGTAAAATTGCTTTATGACACTGGAGCCACAGTGTCATTGATTAAAAAGAAATATTTAATGGAGAAAACGCCAGCCGAAAAGACAAACATGAAATTAACAGGCGTAACAGGGCATCAAGCAAGCGTAATAGGGAAAATCACAGCAACTATACGGCTAAAAGACAAAAATATTAAGCATCCAGTTTATGTTGTGAGAGACGATTTTCCGGTTAGTTATCAGGGAATTTTAGGGAACGATTTTATGAAGAAGCACAATGCCAAGCCGGATTACAAAGCG